AGACCTGGGAAGCAGCAGGCCAGCAGGCACTGAGCTGAGCCACATCCCCCAGCTCCCTGCAGCCCTCCCTGCCTGGACCCCTTCTCCACCAGTGCTGAGACCCAGGCTGCTCCTCCCACACATCACCTGTCTCGGTCTCGAGTAGGCAGCCGATGGCTCCGCTCAGAGTCCCGATAGGAAGGAGTCGGGGAGGGCGACTCCCACTGAGAGCGCCTGGAAGAGCCATAGCCACTGTCCTCCTCTTCCCACGTAGACCTTGATGGGGTGGCTGCATCTGGGGTCACAAAAGACACATCCCCAGGACACGTCAATTTACCAAGAAGCACCTTCAGAACCACTACCCAAGTCAACTCCCCCAATTTATTTTATTATTTATAAACCTTGTACCTATTTGTCATGAATAAGATGGTTTTGACAGCTTTTAAAGCTACCTGAATTTAATAAGCCAGTTTTCCCTCTGTGTTTGTAACAACATGTTAAGGAATATCCAATTCCTCTCTGCAAACATATCCACCTGAAACATGAATGGTTCTTTTTAATACATCCTTAGTGAGCCCCAGCTGTCTAGTCTTTCTTGCCACTGGGAAAACTGGTCATTCAGCAAACAGCTCATCAACTGAAGGAAGCACATCCACCTCCAAAGAAAGGGACAGGGCTGTGCCCACCTGACTCAGAGCCCAGTATTCCAGAGGTGTACTCAAGGCAGACTCTGACTCTCTGCCCCGGCGAAGCCAGCCTGCCTTTCATACACCTGAGCCCCCACACCTCCCCACAGAAAAGAGCCGCATCTACCTTTAGGCCGATGTCGTGGGCTCTCTGGTTCATTTCTTCTGCTGCTGCGTTCTGAGCCTCCATCTCGCTCTGATCTGCTGCTGTGCCTGCTTCTGTCCCGCTCATCTGTGAGGTCACATAAAGAGCTTAAAACTATGTGTCCCATCCTGACACCCATCTGCACCCTGGAGAAAGGACAGGCCCCTGCCTCACTCACAGGTGCAACCTGCACTGCTCTAATGTGGTTCATGGGTCCTGAAGCTCACATACTACCATTCTTTCAAGGGGAAAAACAGTTACTGGCTAGTAAGTTTCAAACTCACAGTAAGTTATTTTCCTGCAAGAATGCAAAAAGAAACAGTTACAAATCTATAGTGAATACCTCTGCAATAGTAACTAGCCTATGAGATATAAACAGAACTGTGCAAAGCCAGCTCTGAATTTTATGTCCAACTTTGCTCCATGGCACTGTCCTTTCTCTAGCACCAACACTATTTATTGTAAACTCTGGTTTCTTATATTACTTCCTTGATCACAAATTTTCATAATAAAACAAAGACCACACACTTAAGCAAAGCAATGGGAACTATGCTAGTTAGGCTACCTCTGTCTCTCTTTCGGTCATAATCTCGATCCCGTGATTTTTCCTTTTTCCGGTCCTTTTCTTCTTTGGATGAGGCATAGACACCATGTTCCCGCCGTTCCCTCTCTCTCTGCCGACTGCGTTCCCAAAACTCTTCACTCACACCCCCAGGGTGGGATGGAGTCTCTACCCGAGCAGATCGATACTGTCTGAAACAGAGAGGGTAGCCAGTAAAGGGCCCTCCGTAGGAGAAAACACCTGCCCCAAACCTCTGGCTACGCCAAACAAGTGATCTGTCCGTATCTACCACATCTCCCCCATTCCCACAGGCCTGTATCCATGTGGGCAACAACCCAAGGTATCCTTAGTTGTCCTTGAATTTTTCCTACTCCTTAGTTGTCCTGTAATGTTCCCCACAAATCTGAAGAAAATACTAATTCCTACCTACCTTCAATATTACAGAATCATAATCCATCATAAAGCTCTAAATGTCCGATGGAAAAACTAAGAACTAAACATGGGCTATTACTGTCTGGTCTGCACTTTTACCCTCTTTGAACCAACCTACCCACAGGCCTTTACCTGTCTTTCCAGCCACTTCGGCCAGCCTGCTCACTGCCCTCCTCCTCCGCATCCTTTTGGTCATCCTTGCTCTCCTCCCAGTCCTTGTAGGAAGAGACTCTGGACTTCTTCTTGTCCTCCCCATCATCCTTCTCCTCTCGCTCCTTCCTTTTCAAGGAAGCCAGTAAGTCTAGTCCCAGCAATGAAGGGCGGGGAGCAGGGGCTTTGAAGACATGCTGCTCACTGGCTGCACTTTTGGTCTTACAAACAAGACCGCCAACCTGAGAGTCCAGATCAGTGCCTTCCAACCGATGGATCGAGGCATCTTCAATGGTACCCTCCATCATAGGCTTTGGGATTTCTCTGGTAAGAAAGGAAACTATTTGGTATTGGACATAAGGGAGAAAGGTTGGCTCTTCTACATCCCAAAATAGCTATAGTTATAGATATATTTGGGTCATTAAGTATCTCCTCATGCTGAGACTTTTTCTACCTTTTATCAAGACTTCTCCATCAAATCACTGACAATCTCAAAAGATCTTCCTATTCCCAACACATACCACAGATATAGATACACACATACACACACACACTCCAAAACATTGGGCTCCAAGAGAGTATCATTCAGGCAAGAAAAACCTCACTAAGGGCCACTTACTAGCACATGATAGCATCTATAAAAGTAGTAAAGGAAAAACTAGATTTGAAGTCAGTAACCTCATTAGAATCCAGGCTCTTTACATTTTCTACCTTTGTGATGGTAAGCAACTTAATCTTTGGTTAGCCATACTTTTCGTATCTGTAAATTGGAAATAATTTTTACTTTATCTAATCTATGGAATTATTGTGCGAATCAAACAAGAAAGTGTATGTGAACACACTCTGTAGCCATAAAAAGTTATATAAATGTTACTGTTACATCATTTTATTTGCTATGCTCCTATATACTGACTGGGCTCCTCACCAATTTGTACAAGTTCTTCTACTTTCCCTCCCTTTAACATAGATACAGCAGAACAGAGATATGGGAATATAAAGATACCACCCACATTCTACATGTTTTAGTGGACCAGTAGTGTTCTGAAAACACAATTATCTCACAATGGTCAAAATCAGTTTTTTGGTTTTGGGGGGGTTTTTTTAGAGGGGGTACTAGGGATTGAACTCAGGCCCTTGCACTTTCGAGGCAGGCGGCAGCACCACTGAGCTAAATGCCCCACTCCAAAATCAGTTTAATAACAATCTATGTTCACCAAAAACATTTATGAAAAACATCAAATTAGGAAACAATGTTTCCAAAAATATTTAAGAAACTATAAGACTTCCTGGAGCTCAACTTATAACAAATTCATCTTAATTTCCCATTATAGGGGTTGGGGATTTAGCTCAGTAGTTCAGCCACCTGCCTCACAAGCGCAAGGTCCTGAGTTCAATCCCCAGTACAAAAAAAAAACAAAACAACTCCCATTTATAAGCATACATCTATGCCGGGCCGGGCATTTGGATAATAATTCCCCTCATTCCAACAAGTTAATGAAGCAAAGAAACTGTTGAGGGGCAGAATACTTCCAGAATCCACAAATGGCTGCCAAGCTCTGATTAACAAGAACAGCTCTACAGAAGAGTACTCCAAGCATAATCCAGAAGAGTACTGAAAGCATAATATGGAAAGCATAATAAAAGAAACAAGAGTTTCATTTTAAAAACATCATCGCTGGTTACATCTGCGTGCATGTGTGGAAATCCAGGCAAGAAGGCAGATATCCACAGGCTCTCTTCAGTAGTCATCTGAACTGGAAATTACACCCCTAGAATGACGATCTATGCAAGCAAGTGAATGTTGTCTGTCTTGTTAACTGCCACCGCCCAGTGCCTAGCTAAATTAAAGTTTGGGAAATAGAATGAATAAGTTTAAACTTACTAAAGGTCAGAGAATCAAACATTTCTAGATCCAGCAAGAAAAAATATCAACAAAACAGGACAAGGAATCTGACAGAGAGGATTTAACTGGCTGGTAAGATAAAGAGCTAAGGGGTCTGATTCTGGAAAAAGATTAATGGCACAGAGGTACAAGGAAAACAGTAAAGAAAAAACTTCGACTTGCTCGTTCAACAATTATTCACTGCCTCCGTGAGCCAACTGCTATACTCGACAATAGGAATAAGGAAAACAGAAAAAAAAATACCTGCCTTCGTAGAGATGACATTCTACTACTGATAACCCACCAGATCGCCTAGTGGAGATATCACTGTCAGAAAGAAGAAAAAGACACGAGGAGCCCTACTCAGGCGTGACGGCTGTCATGGACTGGGGTAGGGCAGTCCCAAGTAAGGGCGCAGGGCGACCCCAGGCAGCATCCCTGGATCTCAGTGAGGCCTCTCCAGACATCAGGATCTGACCAGAACAAGGAGAAAAGCCGGAGGAAACAGGATCGGCAGAGCATTCCTGAAGTAAAGCAAACTGGGTGACCAGGACGAGAGGAACTTTCCAAACCCAGGCCCAAACATGACCCGAGGACCGACATTCGTCTCCTGGAGCCGCCATGATTAGCGAAGGATAGATTTGGAAGGAAGAAAGGTCACTCACCTCACCAAGCACGACTCTCGGGACCCTTCCGTCCCGGAGTCTGGGGTGCCGGCGCCACCACTCTTGGGTCAGACGGCCTCAAAGAGCCAAATTCCGCTCCTTGAAAGCGGCCATCATTGTCCCGTAATACTCTGCGCAGCCAACTCTATCCGTCCAAAAGTACCATCGAGAGCAGCCCACAAAACGATAGTTCCGGGATCCAAGTGTAGGACTGAATGTGAACAGCCTCTCAAAGCTACAATGTCTTCCTCTGAGGCTCAGCTCTGATCTGAGGCACTTCCGAGTCTCCTTGAAACCAATCACGCTCAGTCTAAGAGCCGAGCCCCCGCCTCTAGACTGTGGGCGGGAGGAGAACGAAAATAGGCTGGCCATATTTAGTAAGGGCGGAAGAGGCTAGACAGGCTTCCGGTTAGAGCCGCGCGAAGTAGGCAGTGACTAGAATAATCTCTTTGGCTCATTGGTCTGTGGAGTAGGACGGCAACTGTGCGTTTTATTTCCTGCGTCCAGGCATTTTCCTTTTCCGCAAGCGGACCTACGAGGGTTGCTAGGCAACATCCCAGGGTTCCTTTCGATTAAACTAGCTTCCCCGCCTGGAACGGAAGGAGCGGGCTACTCGCGTACTGCTCTTTGAGAAGGCTAACAACCTCTTAAGGTGCAGGTGCCTTGGCCAAGTAAAGTAAGTGACATTGTCCCCGGTAGTTGTGGGCCAGTGTAACCCAGCCACAGGTACTTTATCTTTAAAATAACATCGGGTATTTTGGATACTGAGAGGCGCGCCTCGTTGTGAAAATCGGCCCTCTGTTCACTTGCAGGTACGTTCACTGAGGGTGTTTTCGGATTTTTATTTCTAAATTTTTAATGTAAATATGTACATGTACATTATAGTTAGGTTTTGTGCAAAAGTGAAGTCAAATTTTACATACTGCTTTATAAGTTTACTGTCACTTATTTCACTAGTCTCCTACTAATAGCCATTTAGGTTTTCCAGCTTTTCACCACTATAAATACGTTGAATATCCTAAATTTGTAAATCTTTGTACATTTATCGAATTATTAAGAATACATACTCAAGAATGGAATTGTTGGGGCCGGGAATTTAGCTCAGTGGTTTTGCCGCCTGCTGCGCAAGCGCAAGGACCCGAGTTCGATCCCCGGTACCAAAAAAAAAAAAAAAAAAAAAAGAATGGAATTGTTGGTGAAAGAGTATGTGAGTTTTCTTTCCAAAAAGGTTTTGGGGGCCGGGGATTTAGTTCAGTGGTGCCACCAGCTGCCTCGCAAGCGCAAGGACCTGAGTTCGACTTCCATTACAAAAAAACAAAAAACAAAACAAAAAAACTAACTTTCTCTAAATTCTTTCGGGCCGGGGATTTAGCTCAGTGGTTCTGCCATCTGCCTCGCAAGCGCAAGGTCCAGAGTTCGATCCCCGGTACCAAAAAAAAAAAAGGTTTTGAGTCTCTCCATTCCAATAGGAACTAAGAATCCCTGCCCCTACATTAACACTCTTGCCATTATGGTGTATTACTGTAGTGTTTAATCGTTGTCTATTTAATAGGTTTTTTAACATATCTTTCAATTGGCTTTTCTTTGTTTACTTGTAAAGCTTAGCTTTCCAAATACATTTTCTGTCCGTTTGTACCTCTCTTTTTGTGAATTCTCCATTGATAGCTTTTGCTATGGACATTTTGTAAGCTGTGGCCTCAGTTTCGAACTCCTAGGGTTGTCCAGTCCCCTTGTGGCCTTCCTATTGACAACGTTGCCCTCCCTTTACTTCCTCCTCTTTATCAGTGATTTAGAGGAGGTGCTGTTTGAATTCTTGTGACCGAACATATCCATATTCTCCGAGTTTCTCTTTCATCAGTAATTTGTTTTCCCACTCATATTTGTTGAAGTCCCTCTTGACAGTCAGCTTCCCTGTTTAAATTGTGATCTGTGGCTGGAACAATTTCTGTATGAATTCTTATCAATTCATAGTGTAAAATATGATTTGTAACCAAACAAATATAGAAAAAGAAATTCTCCCTTTTAGTACTATTCCCCAATATTGAACCTGAATTCAGAATACCAAGGATTTCAATGGGGTCTCTCACGGATGCCTCATTAAAAAGCTCTTTGATCAAGGAGCTTCTCAAATATGAAATTTCTTCCAATCAAAAAATTAGGAGCAGGACTCCTATTTTAGAAGTAACACTAGACTAGAAATTTGGTAGCCTAGAGTCCAGTAGTCCTTGTAGCTAGAAGCCTAACTACAAGCCATCTAACTTGTGAAGTGAGGGTCCAGAACCAGAAAGAAAAAAAAAAAAGAAAGGGGATTGGATTCGTTTTCGCCCAGTTTTCTTATAGTACTGAGGACTGAATCCAGGGTCTTCACACTGAGCTACATGCCTAGCTCTTTTTTTTATTTTGATGCAAGGTCTTGCTAAGTCACTACGTTGCCCAGCCTGGGCTTAAACTTGTGATCCTCTTGCTTCAGCCTTCCGGAGTGTCACACACGCTAGCAATTGAAACTGTTTGCTGTGTGATAAGGTGCACCTACTAAGGTGTGCACCAAGACTCTCTAAACCAGGATTTGTGATATACAAATGTCTATCATAAAGGGCTGTTTAGAAGTATGTTAATACATGAGATAGTATGCTGCTATGACAGAAACATGGAAGTTTTGAGAGACAAATACAGAGACATGGGTAGATCTTCATGTATTAAGTTAAAAAATACAAAGTGCAGAAAATGGATAAAGTGTGTGTGCTGAGCTTCTGCCGTTCCTCCTGCAGAGCCGCCGCTGCCCCCCACCCCGCCCGCCCCCCACTGCTCTGGGACCGCAGGCCTGCCCTCTGATTTCACTTAGTCAGCAGGAGGAGCATTAGCCAAAGTCAGAGGAAGAGAGGAGAGTAGCTGCATCCCTTAGCAGCAAGCTGCCTTCCTGTATGGTGGCCTCCACTGAGCTCTCTCCACCACGAAGTTCTGGCTGCTACCTAGGGGTGGGCACAGTGCCCCATTACTAGCTTTACCTTGTTTTCCTGCACCTTGCCTTAATTAAACTCTTCAGATTACCAAATTTGAGTGTGTTGTTTCTTCCCTGCTGGACCATTGACTGATACAGTAGGCCATTTCTTAGGTAAAAATGAAAGAAAAATGCAGACACATTTGTATTTTCTTGTGACTATGAAAACTCTAGGAGATACATGAGAAAATTAATGAAAGCAGTCACCTGATGTGTGGGGAGTATGGGACAGTGGAAACTGGGCCTGAAGAGGAGGATATGGGATGGAGACATTGTACAGTATACCCGTATGTAGTATTTTTTCTTAAACCATGTGAATACATTACTCTGAATTTTAAGTACTTTTAAATTAGGACTCGTGCACTTAATCTAAATTATCTGTAAACTTTGCAACTGTGTTCCAGGATAGACCGTGGGATTAACATTTGGATTATTTGAAGATGAGCTTCCTGTTGCCCAAACTGACGAGCAAAAAAGAAGTAGACCAGGCAATAAAAAGTACCGCAGAGAAAGTGTTGGTTCTCAGGTTTGGGAGAGATGAGGATCCTGTCTGTCTGCAGCTAGATGATATTGTAAGTGAATTTCTTAATAAATGGTTTCTATTAAAGATCTACATATTCTCACTTCCACATTTGCAAATTGTGTGGAAAGGAACAGGCGGGGTGTGGGTGTAGCTGTTTGTTTGTTAGTTTACTTTCAATAACTTGATCATGTGCCCCAAGCTGAACCCCCCAAATTTGTGATTGTGTTGAATCTGTCATGATGACCTACCACACTAGCAGAGCAGAACCTTATTTCCAAGTGTCTGTGAACATTATCTATTCAGTCTTCACAGCAGCACCCCCATTTCCAAGTGGCAGAAGTAAATGCTGGGGAGTGTGAGGGGCCTCCACCGGCCCAGGGACATTATACTGCAGAGCTGGGATTTGAAGTTATGTTTCCCTAGATGCCAGTGCTTCATTTCTGTGCTGCCTCCAGAATGTGCCTGATGGTAGTTTCTGATTTCACAGCCCATCTTCACATTCTGATTAGTAAAGAGGAAGACTGTGGGGGACACAGTAGGCATATTCTTGTCTCTATTTATCATAACTAGAGACTTAACCAAGGACTAAGGTCTTTTTGTACCATTTCTGTTGCTGCCATCCACTGCAGAATGGAGTCTAAGAATCCTCAGTATGTGGCTAAAAAATGAATGTGTGATGTGTTAACCTGGAGGATAAAGAACCAAAAAATTATGCGCTCAGCTGTGGGGAGCAAAAAATATCACAAATTGAGAGTGTAGGCTCTGGGCTGGGAGTGTAGCTTAGTGGTAGTGTGCTTCTTAGCATATGTGAGTGCCATCCCTACCACAGGAGAAGCAAAGACAGAAAGAAGGAAGGAGAAGGGAGAGAAGGAGCCAGAGAGAGAGAGAACCAAGCCAGGCTGCCAGAGTTCAAATCCCCACCCTACTGCTTAGGAGCTATTTGACCCAGAAGTTACTTTACCTTATTGTGCCTCAGTTTCTTCATCTATAAAATGGGGACTGTTTAATAATCCATACCTCATAGGAATGTGGTATTAAGTAGATTAACATATTAGGACATATTTCTGAGGGGTTTTTTTAAAGTGAGAAATGTTGGATTTTTGCTTTTGTTTTTGTAGTACCCAGGGTTCCATGCATGCTAGGCAAGAACCCTACCGCTGAGCTATACCCCCACCCACATTAAGAGAGTAGAGTATAGATGACTTTTGTAAGAATAATCTAACATGAGCTAGGCATAGTGGCGCCAGTTGATAATCTCAGCACTCTCGGAAGGTGAGGCCGGAGAATCACAAATTCAAGCCTCCCCTGGCCAACTTAGGAGCTTAGCGAGACCCTGTCTCGAAATATAAAACAACAACAAAAAAGTGGTTAGGGATATATTCAGTGCAAAGACCCTGGGTTCAATCTTCAGTAGTGCAAAAAAAGAAAAAGAAAAGAAATAGTCAAACATGGACAAAAAATTAAAAGAAGAAATATATTTTCCAAAGGCACTCTCATAACCCTGTCGACAGTGACTCAGCCTCTGGACACCAAGGCTGCACTGTATCTGATGTGGAACCCAAACAGCTAGATTCTTGACCCAGGAATTTTCTCAAGCAAAATACTCTGTTATAATGAAATGTTTCACAGAAGAAAGCTTGGCTGTTTCTTGTACTGGTTTTCTGTGGTTTTTTTGTTTTATTCTTTGCTACTTCTATTGTGACCTCCATCCCCCTTATCATTTGCAGCTCTGTAAGACCTCTCCTGACTTGAGTAAAATGGCTGCTATATATCTGGTAGATGTGGACCACACTCCAGTTTACACACAGTATTTTGACATCAGTTATATTCCATCTACTGTATTTTTCTTCAATGGGCAGCATATGAAAGTGGATTATGGGTAAGTTAGGCTAACTTTGAAGTCATTCTAATCTTGAAAATTTCTTTCATCAAAGCAGCTTCTGTAGCTCACCTGTTTACATGTGATATTAGCTCTGTGATCATTAGTACCATGCTGTTTTCCGAGTTGATGCACTCTTTAATCTTTTATGTGAAACTGGTACAAATTGAGAGCATTTCAGACATGATTGGCAAATTTTAATTTCCAACTTAATTATGAAAGAATAGTTATAGTTTATGAAGGATAAACCATCCTGAAATCTAGAAAATATAGAGTAGCTCTGTTAGCTAAGTATAGAAGGTCAAAGATTCTCCAGGAATTTTATTTAAAACAATATATGCAGTTATTCTTAAACTTTTAGGACTAGTAAGTGGCATTTATAAAAGAAACCTTCCTGCCAGCAAATAAAGACACATTGCTCTCTTGCTAAATGTCTTCTGCCACCTAGAAAATTTTCGAGTCATTCTTCAACAAGGCCTGCCAAAATAAGTAGCAATGTGGGCCAGAGATTCAGCTCAGTGGCACCATGCCTGCCCTGCGCAAGGTCATGAGTTCGATCCTGAGTACCAAAAATAAAGGAGCAATGTAAGTTATTCTTTAACACTTTCCACTGAATCTAGTTAGAACCCCAACTAGTTTTGACAGTATCCATATTCTCAGCACTTCTTACTCTGCTTGAATTATGTATATCTCTACCATATTTTGTCATTATCTGTTTGAAAGCGTTAAATACTACCTATTTTTAAATGCTTTAAAGCTATTTATTTTCTTAGATCACAGTTGATATATTAGTTTGATACAGTCTTTTTAGAGGGTATTTATGACATTGTATATCAAATACCCTCAAAGTAAGTAATTTCTTTAAGAATTTCATACAGTGACTTTGAAAGAAATAATCGTTAGTTGAAAACATCACTAAATAGCTTGTGATAGGGTTCCCATTATCATGAAAAAAATACAGTTTTCACATGCACAGACATGTACATAATTATTGGAAAGATATACACCAAAAAGTGATTTCTGTCCTCAGTGGTGATTTTATTTTTCTCTAAACAATTTCTACACTAAGTATACCTGGTGCTTAAAGTTTTTTGTTAGCTTTTTTTTTTTTTTTTGGTACCAGGGATTGAACTCGGGACCTTGCTCTTTCGAGGCAGGTGGTGGCACCACTGAGCTAAATTCCCGGCCACCTTAAAGTATTTTTTAAAAAATAATTTGGTAATACCAACAACTCAAAAGTATAAATGACAAGAAGCTGGGAGTCCAGGCCTAGTTAATGAGTTTTGCACAGAAACACCAAGGAAGCTATGCCTACTCCAGTCCTCAGTGAATTCTACTTAGTAACTGTTTTCCGTGATTGAAATAGGTTTTGAGGCAGCATATTTCACATGCCAGGGCTTTCCTGTCAGTGGCCCACAGCACTGGTTTTAGTCATGTATCTTCTACCACGTGGGAAAAACCCAATGTCAGGCTACACGTGTGAGTCTCCCCACCAAGAAGAAAGGAAGCCACTATTCATTTTGTTTACCCAGCAAGTCTTCAGCGAGTAATTGTTAAAAGTCCTGAGAACAGTTATTTCTCTTCTGTGCTGTCTAGGTCTCCAGATCACACTAAGTTCGTGGGCAGTTTCAAAACTAAACAAGACTTCATAGATTTGATCGAAGTAATCTATCGAGGCGCAATGAGGGGGAAACTTATCGTCCAAAGTCCTATTGATCCCAAGAATATTCCCAAATACGACCTTCTCTATCAAGACATTTAGCACATCCACTGCTGTTGGAGAGGAAGAGAAAGGCACATGGTGAAACAGTGCCTAAATCTAGCCATGCTGCTTTTCTGGAGCCCCCCAGAAATGTGTTCAGCATCCCAGCAGAAAAGAGTTTGTCTTGTGCGTAAAATACCCGTTCCCTGTGCAGAAGGCCCCACCAGCGGTCCAACAGTCTGGGTCCATGCCTGTCCACTCCCTGTGAGCCTTGGAGTGTGAGGCCACCTGTTTAGTTTCCCCTGAGGTGACTTTTCTAACTTCCCTTCATACTGGGCTTTTCTTTATCCCATAAGATAATACAGAAACCTAAACATAGGCAGGGACAGTTTAACTGTTTATCTGATGTACAAGTAAATGTAGAGTCCTATAACAGCAAAAATATTTATTTTCTCATACATGCCTGGGAGTGACACACACGCACACACTCCCCACATACCCTTACCTGTTCCTCCACTCGTGTCTCTCATGCTCTCCCATCTCCAGGTCCTCTTTCCCCAGTTTCTCTCAGAAATTCTCTACTCCTAACAGATTCATTTCATTTTGGAGCCTTTCGGACTCTGACTTTTAAAACACTGCTTTTGTCAGCTCATTTAACCAGCTTCTATGATACTCAGTTTCTCAAGGATTAAGACCTTGAACCTCCGCCATCCAGCACCTACCTGGAGCAAAACCAAGACTTAACTACGCCTAATAAGCTGATCTCTCTCAGAAGGCAGAGTTGCCACTTCTTTCTAAGGCAGAAAACTGTGTTTCAAGGATTCAAGACTGCAAAGATGTCAGCATTGTTCAGGAAAAAAAATAGCTTTACGGTATTTGCCAGTTTTAATGACTTTATGAAGAATGTTGCTCTCCCACAATCACCCTGGGAAAACCGTGGGCAAGTCACTGCTTCTCTCACACCTGCAGCAGCTGCTAGTACTGAAGTCTCAGAATAAGGATGGACACTGGGCTGCAGGGAGTGGGCCAGGCAGCTTGGGACCTGCTTGGCAGCCATTGACTTCTTTGCCAACAGAAGCCCACTTCTGTTTCAGGCAGCACTGTGACTGCAGGTCCAACCCCTTTGCCAGGTGCTTCTCAGGATTGTCCTGCAGGGAGTGGTGACCGTGAGATTTGGGTCTGGCTAATGTGGCACAGGAGAAAGCCTGCCAGGGGCTTTTTGTTGATAAAAGGAGAGGCATTCCAGGAATAAAATAGAACTACCTCTGTCTTCTTTCTCTACCTCCTTTTGATTTTAATCATATGCATTTTAAGCCCGTGAGGCAACCAGCATTCAGATGAAAAATTAATATGCTGAGAAGAATAATTAAAAGAGTCTGATCATCAGATATGGTGGTACATGCCTGTAATCCCATCTACTTGGGCAGCCAAGACAGAAGGAGCACAAGTTGGAGGTCTGCCGGGGAAATTTAGCAGACCCTGTCTCAAAATTTTAAAAAAGGGCTGGAGGCATAGCTTAGTGGCAGAGTTCTTGTATAGCATATGCAAGGCCCTGGGTTCAATCCCCAGAACCATTAAAAAAAAAAATTATGACCCCAAGTGATGTTACTGAGCTCCTGAGTGAACTCCAGACCTGCCTCCCTCCAGACTTCTATGAAAGAATAAAATGTCGTCTTTGCCTAAGTCACTGTTAATCAGGTTTTCTGTTCTCCAGCCTAAATTACACTATTTGTTATGCAGTAAGTGCTCAGAAACCAGTAAAAATTGAGAGCTTGCATGCATAAAATTCTCATACCATTCTCTGAAGTCCTGATTTATACTTTAGATGATCTTCGTTCCTTTCTGTTCCACAAGCAAATTATTGAATACTTCCTGTATGCCCCATCAGATGCTAGGTGCCACACACAGGTGACTGCTGGACAAGGATAAAGGCTTCTGAGAGGAGGTGCCGCTCAAGTCTTAGGGGGAGCAGGAGCTCCCTAGGCAGACAGGGAGGGTCAGCAGAGAGCCCGGGAGCAGGGAGAGCTTGGAGAATGACACAGGCTCTGCATTGGCAGGAAGCCAAGAAGAAGGCCTGTTGGGTGGGAGGAGGGAGGCACAGCAGATAAGCGATTGAGAGTATACCAGAGGTTTTCTTTTATCATCACTTCTTTCCTAGGTATGGCCAAGATCCACTTAATATGATCATAACTCTTCCAAACTGGGGGTGGTTTCTTCTTAAAGGTTAACTAGTTAGGGCTGGGGGTGTAGCTCAGTGTCGCTGCACCTGCCTGGTAAGTGCAAGGTCCTGAGTTCAATCCCCATTACCGGGGGTTGGGTGGGGGGGAGATCACATAGTTTAAGCCCCTCGTGTAAGAGGCCAGGGAACTGATCATGGCCAAGGAGCTTAAAGCGTTCAGCACATCTGTGGGCTGGACTGTGATTTGGACCCAGCCAGTCCAGAGATCCTGCCTTTATACTGCTTTATTTTCTGGCACACTGGTAGGTGGGAGCACAATCAGTGAAAGTACTGCCTGTGTCCAAACTCTCGCTTTCACCCTGGAGCTGGCATCTTCCCCTCCAGACCTGCACCCTTCCTCCTAATTCTCTTCAAAGAGCCAAGAAGATGCAGTAAAACAAGCTCTGAGTTTGCATTCAGACAGGCCTGGGTTAAGCTCAGCTTCCCTATTAGATAGCTATGTAACATTATAGAAAGCACTTCACTCCTCGAAGTTTCCTTGTCTCTAAGACAAGTGTAACAGTGAGCTGTCAGACCTGGCATTCAGTAGGCACTCAATCAATGAGCACGATTGCCCAGCGTGGGACAGTTTGTATCTCCTCAGGGATTTCCAGTGGCTTGGAGAGCTATCTGCCATACTCCCAGTAGACTATGCCACTTGGCTGTCCAGTATCATAAGTGAGAGAATAAAAAGGCCCCCAACTAAACAGCGCACAGAAATGAGTCTAAAACAAGCTCTTTATTGATTGACACAGCAGTGCAGGGCTGATCCCCATCAGCTTCAGAACCGATCCTACACCATCTGCTTTTCCCTCTTCCGGGGTGAAATCTTGCTACCAGGCAAGGGCTTCTAGCCAACCTTGCATTAGTTGTTGGCCATGGTTGTCTGAACCCAGTCCAGGATGGAGGCCACCTTCACGTACACACCATACTCAGCTACAGTGCAGCTTTTGTCAAAGCTCAAGATCCCGGCTGCGTACCAGGTGTCCTGCTCCAGGTCGTGAATGGCAAAGGCACCTCCAGCATCACCATAGCAGGTGTCCTCCTGGTACCTGGACATTCCAGCACAGAAGGTGTGTTCATTCAGGATGGGCTGCACCCCTACAGGGCTCTTCCAGGTCTTCTCCTCGGGCACTGTGCTGCCTTCGTAGTGCTCCACACATTTGCTCTGGTTAGCAACAGGCAGCGTGACATACTTGAGATGCTCGGTAAACCGAAAGTTGACATTTCGCCCCCAGCCAGACACATAACCCACACGCCCCACCTCCGCATAATCCTTCAAAGGCAGGCAAATGGGCATCACTCTCTCATTGACAAGCACCTTCTGTTTGAGTTTGATGAGCCCAATGTCTACTATGGAATAGTTTGGGTAGAAAACCACCTTCTCAATCTCCACTGGCTGCCTTTTTCCCACGAAGAGTTTCAAGGTAGGAGCGATCTCCTCTGCTGTAGCATTCTCTGTGTGATTCAGGAAGAGATTTTTGGCTGTGGTCAAAAGCCACTGTTCACTGATCAGTGTGGCCCCCGTGGTGAGATTGTGACGGGAGATCATCTTAGCCTGCCAGGGAAAGCTGCCTTTGGCGTCCAGAGAGCCACCAATGATGCGCTGCACCTGATCCACTGGATTCTTCGGCTTTCCACATACTGTTGAGGAGAGCAGGACAGCCATGAGCAGAAATATGAATGCACCTCCCCTCCCAGAATATGGTGAAAGGAATGGATGTTGCCACTACCTACACTCTTTCTTCACTTGTTTCAAAGCTAGAAATACTCATATGCTTTGTTCTTACCACCCCACCCCCGTGCTCATCTTGTTTGCAGTATTTTCAGTGTAAAATAATGTTTTTTACAATTATTTACATCACAAAGCAGAGTTCTATTTTCTGTTTTTCTAACCCACTAAAGAAACAAGTAACACCAAGATTTTAAACCCTGGCAGACTGGTTAAGCATTTTATCACCACAGAGGAATTTCCATTCCTCCCTAGAACTCAGCGGGAGGGCTGGGAGCTCTGTGATTCCTTCCCTCTGACTAAGAGGGCTGTGGCAGTGTTGGCAGGACGCAAATTCTACAGATACAGCAATGAACCCAGGGGACCTTGGTGGTTCATACTCTGACAACGGAAGGTGGTCAGATCCTCTGTTCCCAGAGGGAAAAGGGAGAGGACAGCTCTTCCTGACAAGGAGAAACAAGAGCCCCACCCATCCCCAGCCTCTTGCCTCCGTGGGCTCTGCTTTCCTCACCTTCTCCTTTGATAACATTCTCCCTAGAGCTTGCTTTACCTTTGACCCTGGCTCTCTAGCTAAGCTGTCTGTATACCATTAGGTCTCCTGATGAGACGGTGTAGACAGTGGATTGAGCCAATTCCCTCAGGCCCAAATGAACAAGCTGCTTTGTGAGCTCCCCTGAGAATCATTTCCTTACTGACCAGATCAGCCCCATGGGCTGAGTTCACCCTGATCCCTCATCTCGGCTCTTGTCTGCTCAGGGGAAGCCACACAGGAGCGAAGTGTCTCTGACCTGTTCACCAAGGTGGCTCCCCATGCACTAAACCCTTGGCACCCACCTGCTTCACATTCTGGAAGTTCCTCTCCAATGGCCTTGTTCACCCACTGCTTCTCACTATTTAAAGCATATACTCCTGAAACAAGAGAAAAGAAGAAGAGCAATCAAGTCTGGACCTAGTGCAGGATGAGAAGATATTTAAAAAGAATTAGGAGGCGGAGGAGGAGGAGGGAAGAGAAAGGAAGACAGTGCAGGCGAGAAGGGACAGGCGAAGCACTGTGCTTCCAGTTGAGTGCTGGACAGACTGCTGTCAGGGAGATCTTGACAAGACAGGTTGGGATCAGTGCTCAGGTCCTGACTGCCTCTCACAGGCCATGTGAACTTGGGCAAGGTCCTCAAGCTCTCTGTGCCTCAGTTTCCTCCTCATAATAACAGTTTCTCTTCCAAGGAGTGCTGTGAGAACTAAGGGAGCCTCAAATAAACACGAAGCACTTAGGAAGCACCAGGAACACAGTGCTTACTCGGGAAGTGTCACCTACTGTCACCCTGCTTTCATAGATGGAGCTCTTACCATGAGACAGGCAAAGGACATGGCATTGCCTCCCCTTGACAGAAGAAAAACTTAAGACTGAGAAGTAAGTTTGCTCAAAGGATCACTTTACTGGTGACAAAACCTTTATTAGATGCTCCAACCCCTGGCTCCAGGGAGTCTATGTTAACTGCCAGGCAGTCCAGCCCCACGAATCATGGAAATGTCAGGGTGGGTGTGTGCAGGGTAGAGACTTCTGGGTCTTACCGTCCCCTTCAGTGTGCAGCCTGTAGTAAGGCTGACACTGATAGCGAACCAGGTGCTCCACGTAGCCATTTGCAATCTCAGGGGGCTTTGGACAGCTGTCATCTGCAAAAGAAAGGACACCAGAAAAGGAAGCTAATCTCCAGAAACCTGTAAAAAGTCAGCTGAGAGGAACCCGCTCTACCAATCAGCCTCCCTGCCTGCAAATGGAAACCCAGGGAAGGGCAGTCTCCCCTCATTGCCAGGGGACAACAGGTGAGAAGGGGAACTGGGTCTTCCACAAAGGACAGTGCAGATCAGATGGGGGCTGAGTGGACCACAGCAAAGCTGGCGATGCACAGCTCCTGCTCAGACCCAGAGACCTACCTGCAATTTCTGTGACTTCATTGTTAATGTCCATGGCAAAAAGCTGTCCCCAGAGCAGGAGGGTGACGAGAGCTCCCAGAGCACTTCAGAGAAATGACAAGGAGTGCAAAGTTGGTCTCCCGGCTTCATAGCACGCACACACACGCACATGCACACACACACACACACAGACCTTTCCCACAAACCCAGAAAATAGATGGAACTGCCAGGACCAAGGAGTCGCACTCAGCCACCCACTCTAACAGCTTCTGAGCATACCCAGCGTCCAGCAGGCTTCATGCTGCCCAGAGTTCTGGATAAGCTTCGGAAAGGTGCCACCATAAATAGGAAGGCACCGAGCTAAGGAGTCTCAGTTTCTGGCCACGTCCAGTAAACACTAAATTGACAATAATACATGAGCTCTCCGGCAAAGAGAAATCTCACTCAGACATCCCTAAACTACTGGGCTACAAAGAGTGCTGATAAAATGAAGGTGGGGACATAGGGCTTATTACACTATCCCCTCTATTTTTTGAATTTTTCCATAGTGGTTTTTAAATATATAGTTTAAAATATATATATGGTTGCTTCTATTTTATGAGCATTAGCCTTTAAGGAAGGGTGTGTAAAACCCAGAATCTCAGAAGGCTGCCGGGAGGAGAATTGGCTTCCTGAAAGCCTGGCCGTGGCCATGGGCATCAGAACACAGGCCACGCTTACCAGGTACCCACCTTGCCCGAAGATGTCTACCATTCAGGGACTGCCTGGTGGTGTTCGTTATTTCACCATTTCAAAAAGCTTTTCCCTTCTGATAAAATCTAAGTGAATGGATCCCATCTCCTGGCAAAGACAGCACTGTCTGAAAGCACCACCTTTTACAGATGCAGATGAGCTGTGAACTTAATACACTAAGCCCTATAACTCGCTACAACCTACCCCACTTGCCCTGCTTCCTCATTACATGTTTGCATCTCTCCACTAAGCTTGTTCTGTACTGATACAAGAGAAGGATGGGCTAAAGACCATGCAAGTGTGAGGAGACTCACCTCATTATTTGGCTTGTCTTGCTTCTGGAAGAGCAGTCCTGTAGGGGCACCTGCCCAACCTTTTATGCCTCAAAGCCTGACCCCGCCTCCTTAATTTGTAATTCCCTAGTTTACACAGTTTTGGCCCTGTTAAGGTCACTGACATGTTCCAGTAACAAAACCACAAACAATACCCCTCTTAAGAGTTGAGCTCTTGCATCAGAGCTAGTGTTATTTTACCAAGCTCTGAAGAAATCTGACAACTTTATGACCCTATGTACCTGCCAGAAGTGTTTCCAGAAAATAGTTGGGCAGGAGGAGACTGTCATTCTGGCTCTTTATTTTGGAAGGTTTTCAGCATGGAAAATAAACTTGTTTTGAGTCATTTCAAACCATTTATAGACATTCTTGCAACCTCACTTAGATATTAAGAAAACTGTAATGAAAGCATTTCCTTTTCACAATCATTTTCCACACCTATGTGAAATCTCCCTATTGCTTAAAGTTCTCCGACCTGAAATCAGTAAACTCTGTTTATTGTGTCTTCTTTGATTGCTTTTTTGCAAGAAATCACACAAAGTTAAAACGATAGACTGACACAGGACTGTAAATCTGTCAATTCTGGAGGGTTTCCAGCTCCAAAGAAGGCCTTTGAGTTGTTTCAAACCCTGTACACACACATCTACAACCTAGTTTAAATGGGGCTATAAAGAAAACATTACCTTTTCACAGTCATTTTGCCCACCTTACGTGGACATCTCCATATTGTTCATAAGCTCTCCAGTCTGAAATCAGTGAAACATGTTTTCAAGAAATCATAGAGTTAGAGCTGTAGAGTACCCCAACACAGACCATATTCAATGGCAGTGATTCTTGTGGTTTATAATCCAGGAATTAGTCCACACAGGTAGATGAGGGAAATCACTGTTTCAGCCAAATATCTGTACCTATATATCCTAAGTATGACTCCATTGAAAGTAGCAATTCAATTAAAGATGGCTTTTTCATTTTGAAAAAAAGGTTAGGCTAGCCTGTCCATAAAAATCACTTGGAATGTTCATAGTAGCACTGAGGTAATAGCAAAATAATTGAAAACAACACAAATATTCAGCAGTAGGAGAACAGGTAAATAATGTGTGGTATAGTCACATAATGGAATATTATAGTCATAAAATGCATGAACAATAAAAGAACATGGATAATCTTATAAACCTGATTTTGAAAGAAAACAAAGTTCTAGATTATATTCAAAATATCACTCTACCCAGGGATTTAGCTCAGTGGTTTTGCTGCCTGTCCCGCAAGCGCAAGAACCCGAGTTCGATCCCTGGTACCAAAATATCACACTAGAAGCAGGCATGATGGTGCACACCTGTAATCCTAGGACTCAGGAGATTGAGGCAGGAGGATCGCCATGAGTTCAGGGCCAGCCTGGACTACCTAGTGAGTTCAAGACCAGCCTGAACTGCATAGTGAGACCCTGTCTCAAACAAAAGAAGAAAAATGATATCATTCTTATAGAGTTCAAAACCAAGTAAAAATTATCAATGGATTCACCAAAATTACAAACAACAAATGAAAAAGTAGATAACTTAGCTTCATCAAAATTAATTTTTATACATCAAAAGAAGCGAAAAGGGCCAGGGATTTAGCTCAGTGGTTCGCTGCCTGCCCCACAAGTGAAAGGACCTGAGTTTGATCCCCGGTACCTAAAAAAACCCAAAAAAACAAAAAACAAGACCCCAACGATGAATGTAACTATATTGTATACCTAAAATGCACCAATAAACTTAATTTTAAAAAAGCTATGCACAGAATTGCCATATGACCCAGCAATTCTACTTCTAGGTAGAATTAAAATCAGAGACTCAGAGGCTTGCTTGCCAGTATTCATTGCATCGTTTTCACAGTAGTCAAAAAAATGGAAACAACCCACATGTCCATCAGCAGATGAATGCGTAAACAAACATGGTATAGTCATACAATGGAACATTATTCACCTATATGAAGAAGGAATGAAGCCAATGACATGCTACAATATGAATCAACTTGCCGGGGATTTAGCTCAGTGGTTTCACTGCCTGCTGCTCAAGCTCAAGGACCCAAGTTCGATCCCTGGTACCAAAAAAGAAAAATGAATCAACTTGAAAACATAATAAGCCAAAACCAAAAGGACAAATATTATATAGCCCACTTACATTCAATGCCTAAAATAGACAAATTCATGGAAAAAGAATGTAGATAAGAAAGTTCCGGGGGCTGAGAGGAGAGAGGAATGGGGTGTGACTGCTTAATGTGTACAGAGTTTCTGTTTGGAGTGATGAAAAGGCTTTAGAAACAGTAGCAGCGGTTGCACAACAGTACTAATGTAATTAATGCTGCTGGATTGTACACTTAAGAACAGTTAAAATCAAATTCCGTACATATTTTATCACAACAAAAATTCAAGAAACAGTAAATATTGGTTTTGTATCATTGTTACTCATATCTATACAATATATTGCTGTTTTGTTTTCTTTTCTCCCCAACAAAAAGTTTATTTCTTGAGACGGGTTCTCACTATATAGTTTAAGCTGGTCTTGAACTCACTATATAACCCAAACTGGCCTCAAACTTGCAACCTGCCTCAGCCTCCCAAGGGCTGGGTTATAGGCATACACCACCACTCCTGGCTAATTTTAATTTTTTTAATGGAATGGAAAACACAAAATATAAAATGTTACCTCATGAGGAGCAAGTAGGAAGGCCTAAGAGAAAAGTACATAAATATAAATGAATTATTGTTAATGATCTAGCTTTTGGGCTGGGACAGGTTCATGAATATACATTATTTTATTGTGTTTTATTTTCATAATATATACATACATGCATAGATCACATATAATATTTTATAAGTATCAAATATCATATTTGAAAATACAGAGGAGGAGGAAATCCCCTGAAGAACTTACTAAGAGGCCCCTCTCCATCGACTAACCCAGGAGGTCTGAGCAGGATGCGAGAGCTCCCAGTTCAAATGGCCGAGACGCCTTTTCCTCCCTGCATGCACTGCAGCACACTCTGCCAGTCTCCCCTTCACAAGGCAGAGCCAAGGATAAACCTGAACTGTGCTATGGCTGGGGCTTGCCTTTTCCTGCCCCTGGAATCTGAAGGCTACCTTGTAAATGAGCCGGAGCTATTCCTGGCTGCTGGAGAAGGGGACGGGGGAGCAGCCTACCAGCCCTCAGCCAGCCAGTCCCACGTCTTCAGGGCCCTCCACAGATGAGTAAGCCCTGGCCACAATCAGCTGAGGCTGACCCAGACCCAAGTGACCTCTGCCTCAGCTCGGCCCAGGCAAAATTGCTGACCTGCAGAATCTTAGGCTAAACAGAAGAGGTTGCAGTTTAAAGTCACTAGGCTTTGGGAAGGTGTGTTAGGCAGCCAGTGTTAGCTAGCACCGCTGACCTACAGAACAGATAAAAAGGTAGCTCCAGGGACTGAAGCTGGAGTGAAGCTGGAGTGAAGCTGTTAGAATTCCCCTCCCTGGACGCCTTTGTCCCTGCCACAGTTGGTCTTCACCAGCTCTTTGCCACCCAGCTGGCTCCATGAGCAAGAAGAAGAGACCTACTGCCCTGCCTTTCCCAAAGCCTTGTCAAAAGGAAGCCACGCCATGGACGTGAAGGAGCCTGCTGAACCTGGAGCCCTTCCTCCTGTGTCCTCGGGTCCTGTTCCCCCTTCTCCCACGCACTGTCACCCCTCCTCAGAAATCATTATACCTCAGTCTCAGCCTGTCTTCGGCCCACAGTCTTGAGAATGTCACAGCCCTAGACTTCTGGTTTCTTCTCTGCCTGGTTGCTTCTACTTCTCCACAGAGGGAAGAAATGGGCTTTATTTCTGGGGATTCTCAGGGAAGGAGGGAGAACCCCAGTCTCATGACCAAAGGGGGCAGACAAGGCTTTCTCCTTGGACTCCAGCTCGTGCCCTCCTGGAGCATCTAACTTGAAACATTTCTCATCCCTGCTGTAAAACAACTGCTTACCTGCCAGGTGCATGACAATTCACATTCCTGTTCCGGACATAACCTGAGCTCAAGTACTCTAACCTCTAACATTTACGGCCTCTCTGCCCTGGGCATCATCTATGAACTTGACAATAAAGAGGATCCAGCCCAAAGTCCTTCCCTTAACTGGACAGGACAAGGTGGGAGGTAGCAAGTGAGAAGACTCAGTACCCAGTCACGAGAATTGAGAATGTATGTTACAGGGAGAACAAAAAGAAAAGCTTAAAAGAATAAAAAGGACAGGAGTTGGCAAAGAAGATTGAAGGGCAAAGTTTTTATTTAAAAGGAAAAAACATATTTTTCAGACTTCATTCTGCCATCACAAAAGCCTTGAAATTTTGCAAGGTTCAGAAAAATATAAATAAGGAAAACATCCCACCAATATTTCACCATCCCAAGGCAACCAGTAACCACTATTAACACCTTAGTGTTACTTCCTCCCAGGTTTTTACACACACACACACACGATCATAGTTGTGATCATCTTTATTAGAATTTTTGTGGTCTGCTTTGTTCACCCATTTCCCATGTTTCATTTCCCACGTTTCAGCAAACTCCTTAATGTCATATGTTAGTAACTTAAGTATGCATCATATGTACTTTATTCCTTCCTTGTGGGGAATTTAAGCTAAAGAGACAGAGATGTGAGGCAGAAAACCAGGCTCATTAATTCCATATCGCTGTACAATTGATCCAACATTACTTATTAAAAACACTACCTATTAAGTATTCAGTTTGATGCATCTTTATGTAACACCCATGCAATCAGCACAGTGCTTCTAGTATCTCAGAAGACTGTTGAGTTCCCTTCCATCAATATCCCACCCCACACAAAAAAATAACTGCCGTCCTGACTCCTTTATGATAGAATTTTTTTGCTATTCTTGAATTTCATTTTGCTCCTTTCTCATTAAATCTATTCCTAAGTATTTGATTATTCTACTATAGTAAATTATATTTTACTTAACTACTAATAGTGTAGAAGAGTATAATTAATTTTTATATTGATCTTGTATCACACAACCTTGATAAATTTACTAGTTAAATCTAAATGATTGATG